AACTAAAAAGAGGTGTCTCTTTTTGGTAGAAAAGAGTTACAGAACTGTTGGTAAAGGGCATTGACACTTGAATGTGGGAGTAGTTCAAGTAGTAGGAGGTAACCAAGTTACCAGAAGAGCAGTGTGCATAACAGGAGGAGCTGGAGAATGAACAGCAACAAACATTTGGGGAGAAAAGGATTGCTGGTGAATTACCAACACAAGTATGTGTGTCTGGACACAGGGAAGCTTGAGGACAGGACAGCAAGAACATCATAAGAGGGAGCAGCAAGAACTAGAGAGGGAGACATGTACAGGTATACTCTGCTATCTGTTAAAAACTTGTTCCTCAAAAGTGTGAGCACCAGCATTTTGGCAGTGAGCAAAGCAATGCTTCTAATAAGGATTAGCATAATGAAGAGATGCATGAAAAGCATTGTGCAATGGTTAGAAAGCACAGGGACAGCTTCCTAGTTATGGAGCTCAGCAGGCATGGGGGAAGAGAAAAGGAGCTGGGGAGTGACACCAAAACAGTGAAAATACAAAGACAGAAGGCTGTGAATTTCTAAAGCAGCAAGAGAAATATCACAGAAAATGGATGAGGACCAGAAATCAGAACAGAGGTGTCACTGCAAAGATATCTATCTAGAGGGTTTATACACTGAAGAAAATGTTTACAAGTTGCTCATATTGGAAACCTCGTGAGCAAATCAGGATGTTTCGAGTAACTGTTTAATTCCATTTATATATATATTTAGGACTATGGCAGCTGTGGTTTAAGTGCAGCTGAACTTGCTGGTAAACAGGGTAAACAAGCTGAATGAAGGGCCAGCATTACCACACATGACACCAGCTGTGCACTGTAGCTCTACATCTTCCAGACTCTCCATAATGCTCCGTGGAAGAAGCACTCTAGGCTCAATTCAATTATGCAATAGGCATAGATGAGTTACCTATTTTTAAACCTATATTCTAAGCTGCTAGATCTTAGAGATGGCAAATAATTGCCCAGAGGGCAAAACAATGGAGAAGTACAAAAATATATATATTTATTGCCTCCTTTAACCAAGTTAAGGCTTCCTACTCCCATGGAGTGTAAAGTTTTCTGATTTCCTTACTACTATTTGTTTACTCCCCAACTAAGCACTAGAAACTGGCCTCTTGCTTTTGATGAGAACTGCCAGGCATAGAATACCCTTCAATATATGGTTTCTGACAGGAACCTAAAGAAAGGCCAGAGGAAGGACTAAGGGGTCTAGAAACATCTGAGCATTTCAGACATACAGTTGAGGCTTTTTTCATAGACTTTGAAGCAGTTACAGCCCCTCAGAAGGGAACAGTTGCACAAGCAGCTGCACATTTAAAGACAGAGCTTGAATTTCTACTTGTACATTTAAAAAATTAGCCTTTGCCAAAGTCCTGGCAAGTCTTGCTTTGAGCACTCTTTATCTGTCCAGGATAGGAAACTCAACATGAGCAGCAGAGATGCAAATGCTTTAAAGGACACCTCTCAGAGAGGCAATCCCACCACTGCATGGAAATTTACTCCCTTACAAAAGGATGTGTCGTCAAGCACATGCTCCTCATTGCAGGTCTGCCTCACAAAGCTGGTGGGCTGACAAGCCTCAGGGCACCTCCCAGCCTCCTGGGAAGAAAGCAGCACATTTAGCACCAAGGCTTGCCCTTCAGAGCAGCTGCTTGTGGAAAGCACTTCAGGCCCTAGGATGGGCTAGGGAACAGCACAGTCCAGGGGCTGGAGCCTTGTGTTCTTAAGAACACAGTACACTTTAATCTACCAGACAGCCCAAACACTCTTATTTCCCAAGACGGCTTTAATAGACTACCCACGCTGCTCCAATTTCAGTATTTACAGTGTCCTGACATAGTCTTGGTAGTGTTTAGAGTGTAGCTAACACTCCCACCAACAGCTGTGTTAGCCACCAGAAAAACCACAACCCACAGTAAATACCGATTGACAACCTAGACAAGACACATTAAAACACTGACACCTTGGTTTTTAAAAGGTCAGCACTAGATAAGGCTCTTGGCCCTTGCTATTTATTGAGTTTCATGTATAGAGCAAAGCAAAATAGGAGGGGCAGCCCTTTATTTGTGTGTCAGCCCTCCTTTAAGTCACTGACATTGCCCATGAAACTCTCCCCTTTGACCTTGAATGGAGAACTCCCAGCCCAAAAGGAGGGGAATATTTTATGGCTGAAGGTGCTGAGGATGGGTTATTGAAACTGAAAGGGCTGCACCTCATGGACTGAACAGAGGCTGTGCAGACAGGGGGTGGGAGACATTTGATCAAGCAGCCTTTCTCTGCAGAGTTACCAGCCCCCCTAATAAGATTAAGGATTTATCACCAAATGCATCCAGAATATACTTCCAGCAACTGGCTTCACTGCAATGCACATCTGAAGTTTGTAGTTTTCTAAATAGCATGGAAGAATGGAAAGTTTTTTAAAAAAACCAAACAAACAAAAAAAACAAACAACAACAACAAAAAAACACTCTTCCAAAAGCAACCTGGTATTCCACAGCCCACTCCCCACCCCAAAAGAACAGACAGACTCAGCAAGGTGGTAAATTGTATTTGAGACCACTTAAAGTACATGCATTGATGACTATAACATGCCAGACAAGATTACAGTTGTGTTTACAAGTGAAAACTCCCCCTGTGTGCAGCCCCTCACTTCATACTTGGTGGGCCTTGTTGACTTTTGACCCCCCATACAGAGACAGAAAAGGAAGAGAAAGGTAGAAGAAACATACAGCTAACTAACATCCAAGAGAAAAATGGAAGAGACAACCTAGTGGGACATCAACCCCCAGGGGAACTAGGGAAATGCAGCACCAAACACTTGCTTACAAGTCAGAGAACTGCTGGTTTGGGGGAGGTCTCAAGCTCATATGCATACACCCTAAAGGCAAGCAGCAATAAGCAGTACAAGAGACCCTGGCTTCTCTTCAGTAGAGGCACTTCTGACCATCCACCACATCTCAGTTCCACAGAGAATTAGAGAAGTGCTCAGGGGATGAGGGCTGCTTCACTCCAGATCTTCATCTCTGCCCTCATCCAAGTTGGAGAGGGATGGAATTGCATGGAAATGAACTCAGCACATGTGAAATGCTGGGGGATGAAGTGAGCATGCAGAACCTAACCCCTGCCCAGCTACCAGAGGAAAGGGGCTTTCCCAACATGCCCAGGGGAAGGAGAAAAAAAAAAATCTGCTCCTTCCATCTTGTCTCTTCCAGTCAAGAACTCCAGCCATGTTCTCTCCTGCCTCCCCACACCCCCTTAAGCCTAGGCAGGTATCAGTGTATCCTAGACCTGAGATAGAGCTTCCTAAATTTAGCTCTCTGGGCTAGTTTACAGGCCACAGCTCAGACTCATACAACCCCAAAAGACTGCACAAACTGATGAACAGTACAGCTCATTTAACTAATTCTGAAAATAGATTTAAATAATTCAGATTTCTTGTTCATCCCAAGGGGGAACAAGATGGGGAATTGTTCACAGGAAGCCATTAAGTTCTATGCACTAAATTTACTTCCACAGACCACCATGGACCCCAGATCAAGAGAGGCTGTAGCAAGTGGGAGAATTTCAGTATAAACAGGCCAGGTATCTGAGCTGCCAAACAGGAGCATCCGATGTCACTTTGCAGCGCACATGCCCAGAGTAGCCTTTCCCTTTGGACCCCCATCTGTTGGGAGTTTTCTGTAACACCTGCTGAGAGTTAGGGCTCTGAGGTAGGAGAAAGAGCAGGCATTCTCAGAAAGCAGTGCAACTTGTTCAATCTCACCTGAAATACCTCCAAGCTCCCTTCCTCTCCACCTATCACATTGGGAACTCAAACATTTAAGATAAGAACACAAAACCAAAACCATTCCTGCTCCTGTTCTGCCCCATCCCAAACTTCACCAGAAAGCTAGAAGACAAAAAAAGACTCAGAATCCTAGCTTATGTCTGCATAGATGAAAGGAGCATTTTATGACCATATTCCTTATTGTCTATTTTCCTCCTTTCTCTTGGCAGGTGGTTTTTATTCTCACACATGCCTTTTAGCTGAAATAAGTTCTGTTACTGTCTACTTTACATTTAGTCTGTTATACACACTGAGGCTCCCTTTTATAATCACCAGGAGAGCCATTTTAAGAGAGCAAATGTTAACATAGGGTGAGGCAAGGTCTAGAAATGATTTTTAAGTGCTCATCTCTCCATAAGAGAAATCTAAATGAATGTTTTAGGTGCACTTGTTAGGTAGAAGGCTAAAAAATCTCATATACTTAGGTCCTTCATCCTCCCCAAGGCACTGCATTAAGGCATTCTTATATTGCCAGAATTGACAGAGGCACTATTTGATAAGTTTGATCCAGAACAAACTACATATTCTCTACAGAAGAGCACCAGTAACAGCTACCCACTCTTCTACTTCTCTTTCATCTAAGCTCAGAGGTCTCTTACAGCAGCAGTGACTGTTGAAGAATCTAACCCACATTCAGAGCAACATTTGAGAGTCTTTATCTAGCAGACAAATCTAAACCAGTAATCAATGAAGAAGCTAGGTGGAAGGGAAGAAAAGATTTAGAGAGAGGAGAAGAGACAGGCAAGGTGACAGGGGTCAGTAGGTAGCAGAGTAAAGCAGATACATTCAAGTACAGAGGTAGACTAGAGGAACAGGGGAGGAAAAAAAAAAAAAAAAAAAAAAAAAAGGAGAGAACAAGAGGTCAAGTTACACAGAGGATGCTCCAAAGCCTCCACCAGGGAAGGGGTCCAACCCAACTCACCCACTCCCAGATGGCTGCCCCTCACACTCAACTGAGTTGGCAGACAGAATTGCCATTTCTACAGAAATCATCCCTCCCCAAACCTCTCCCACTTCCTTTTGCCATTGGGTAAAACATACCATTTCCCCAGGAAGTATGGAAGTTCCCTTCTTGAAGAGGAAAATAGTGCTGCTGGAAGTAACCACCTGCAACCAAGACCCTCCAGACATCAAACCAAAAAGCAAAGTTTATAGTATCCTAGAGTTAGGGCTCCTTCCCTTTTTTTGATACTTACTTACAATCACCACCACCACAATGGCACAGATCACTCCCATCATGATCATCATCTGAGGAGAAATATGGTTAGAGGTTAATACTCAGAACAGATTGACAAGTTTCTGAAAGCCAGGAAATAGTCCTCACTACTCTGAAGACAGGACAGACCAGACCAAGCCTCAAACCCTTCCACTGAAGGGATCCTAAACATTTGAGGCACTTAAGCCCCAAGTAACCTCTCAGAGTTCTCCGGGAAAATCTAGTCTAGTCTCCTACTCATGAAGGAGACATAGCACCAGGGAACTCACCTTGCAATTCTTCCACCAGTACTTCCTTTTGAGCTGAGCTGCATTGCTTTCAAACAACAAAGCACCAGCCTTAAGCGCATCAGCCCGGTCATCTAGCTCTGAGAGTCTCTCATCTCGTTTGATCACTCTGTCTACATTTTCACATACTATGCCAACCACCTGTAGAAAGAAGAGAAACAGTAGTAGTTATTTTTTTAGCTTTCTTTACTTACATAAAAGCAGAGTCCTGGTCTCTGACTAACACCAAGTTACTAAAAAGTGAATAGCTGAGGCATTAAGTCTGCCCATGGGCTGTTCTCTCAAAGCACCTGGGAGGGGCCGAGAGCCGTTCAGCATCCCACATAGCTCTGCTTTCATGGCAGAGACACAATGCAAGGCATCAGAAACCAGGCATACTTGTTCCTCAGAGCTCACCTGAGGAATGAGGGAGCTTTTCTGGGTAAGGCAGCCTCTGGCGTTCCTCCAGGCTCTTCATAGGCTTGTTAACTTACCTTTGAAGGATTTAATACAAATTTTGCAAGCATCTGCCCCATCAACATCCACCTTGATCAGGAACACAGTTACTAAAGAGCAGTTGGAGGTGAGAGCCCACACAGCCGCCAGAAAGCAAGAGAGTTACTGACCTCCTGCACTTCAGCCTGGGTCTGCTGCAGCCGGTAATCAGTAACGGTACTAGAGGGCTGCCTGGCGGGGGGCCCACCAGGGGCCACCCCCTCCGGGGTGCCAGGAGGGGGCTGCTGCGCTGGCTCGGACCTGGGAGACACAGAGCAGCGGAGAGAAGCCCGGTGAGGCGCCCAGCCCGGGAGGAGGCTCCTCACGCCCAGGTGAGCGGCCAGGAGCAGCGGCAGGGCCACCCCGA